CGGACCGTACGGATACATAGAGGGTCGTCGAATTGGTTAAACGAAGGAAAGGTTTGATCTACTGACACCAGATGTAAAAGGAGTGTGTTAAGAGGGCATGGGACTATTTTTGTATTTGCTAATCAGCGTAAATAAGCTTTAAACTAAGTTCTTATTGTTTGTTTTTTCATTGTTTCTTCGTTTTATAGTTATCTCATTATCTTCAACAATGTTCAATTGTTCAATCTCATTTGCTTCGTTAAACGTGAGGGGTCTAAAAGATTTGGTCAAAAGAAAAGCACTATTTTTATTTTGTTAAGGGCGAAAACCACAATGTCTGCTATTACAAGAAACTCATTCTTCCGAATTGGATGTTAAGTTCTGGTCTAACCAATGGGGTGATCGAATACTGTTTAGTCATGGGACCAATAAAAGTCTGCTGGTGTTGCAGTTTGTTTTAATAGGTTTCCAGGTGATATAATAACATACAGGACAGATAGCCAAGGTCACTGGCTGATGGTGGTTTTAAAAATTGATGGTTGTTTTTTCATACTAACTAACGTATATGGTCATAGAACTGTTGCCCAAAATAAACACATGCTTGACGAAATTACAAACACTTTATCAGAGCTCAAAAGAGTTTATCCTACAGACTTTATTCTCATGGGAGGTGACTGGAATATGACACCTGACGAATGGGAAGACAGATGGCCCACTAAATTTGACAGCTACCACTTTAACCATACAATAGGGGAATTTATGAATAAAAATCACCTGATAGATATTTGGAGAAGTTTAAACCCAGGAGTAAAACAATATTCCTGGTTTAAACCTAATAACACCTGTAAATCCAGGATTGACTACTGGCTTGTGGATTACTCGTTTAGAGAATTTGCCTCAGACATCTTGATTTCCAAAGCCCCGCTAACAGATCATTGTATTGTAGAAATGAAATTAAATCCAGTTGATAGAATAAGGAAAAATAAAGGCTACTGGAAATTTAATTCTGGTCTGTTAAAAAATAAAGAATATTGTACAAAGATAAAAGAAATAATAATTGAAATTGAAAATAATGAGACTATAAATAGTCTTTGCAGTAAATGGGAATTTGTAAAATATAGAATTAGAGAAAGTTCCATAAAGTTTAGTAAGAAGATTGTCTTGGAAAAAAGAAGAGAAGAATGTAACATGTTCCAAGAAATTTGTAAATACTGTGATAAGGCAGAATTAAACAGTGAAGATAAAGACAAACTATTTATATTGCAGTCCAAATTAGACGATATGTATTGCAAAAGAGCTCAAGGTGCGTTTGTGAGATCGCGAGCAAAGTGGATAGAGCAAGGAGAAAATAACACCTCGTACTTCAGTAATTTAGAGAAGAGAAGACAGGAAAATAAGGCAATATCAAGTTTTCTGCTGGTGTTGCAGTTTGTTTTAATAGGTTTCCAGGTGATATAATAACATACAGAACAGATAGCCAAGGTCACTGGCTGATGGTGGTTTTAAAAATTGATGGTTGTTTTTTCATCCTAACTAACGTATAAAGACTTCATACCCAAGATTGATGATTCATTTAAAGAACTTTGTGAGTCAGATTTAAGAATTGAAGAACTGGATGATGTGAGCTTGGGATTATCATTAAATAAATCCCCGGGTACCGACGGGCTCACAGCCGAATTTTATAGATTATTTTGGAAAGATATAAGACGTTTGTTATTTAAGGCAATTCAAGAATGTATTGCAAAGAACGAATTAATGACAACCATGAAGCAAGGCCTAATAATACTTATTCCTAAACATGGCAAAGACAAAAAATTGTTAGATAATTTAAGACCCATCACGCTTCTTAACACTGATTATAAATTATTATCGGGAATTATTGCAGCTAGAATGAAAAAACGCCTGCCCCAGATAATAAATGAAACCCAATCTGGCTTCCTTGCTGGAAGATCTATTCATAATAACATACGATTGGTACTAGATTTTATTGATTACAGTCATACATTTGTAGATCAGGGTTTCATTGTATTTTTAGATGTCTACAAAGCTTTCGATTTGGTAGAACATCCTTTTATTTTAGAAACTTTAAATCATTTTGGTTTTGGACAGAAATTCACAAATTTAATTAGTC